GGATCCCACAGCTTCGCGCAGCTCCCTATGCGACTGGAACGCCTTCGAACTGGCCACGTATATATAAGCTTCACCGCTTGTCTGATTTGTTGAGACAGATCCAGCGCGAAAGCTTGCCTTGAGGAGCCATCTATGAGGCTAGAATTATCGTTTTCCCGGAGGAAGCCAATTCTGAACGGTGTGTGGATACAACATTGGGTCTTGCTAGTTATGAAATCTCGGTGACTACTTAAAGATATTTTGTCGCGACAAGCAATCTTAGGTTTGCGAAATATCATGCTTGTACAGCACCAGTGAAAACTTCTGAGTACCCACGTGTATCAACATTGTGTTTCCGTATCTTGCCTCCCATGCGGACTGATTTGGTGTTACGGTCAGTCTGAGATATTTCCCACTATTTACTCAGTTGTAACCAATTGGATCAGCAACTCGTGGTGCTCATTCCATAGCAGGCTGTTAAAAAAGGTTGGCCTTATCCAAGGTGATCTTTTTGCAGGATACATAGGCGCTAAAACCTGGCCCCAAGACTAACGTACCTCCTTTTAAAGTTTCGTTTGCGGGAATCGTGCAAACGCAGCCCGTTTGGAGCCTGCCAAGGCGGGTAGACACATGATAAAAGTGCCCTATCTCGGACTCGTGAGTGATAAGCTCACCGCTAATCTTATGAAAGATGGAGTCTGAGATTTATACAGAAGGAATTGAAATTGGACCAGGAGAAGTTTTCGTGTTGCAGCCTACCGCTAAGGTACCTATTGCACATAAAACTTTGCCAAATCGCGAGGTCATTTTTTGCCCGTGCTTTGTCCCTCGCCTACTTCTAGTCAGCTATGGCGCGAGACCCTGTTGAGCCATCGTCGCTCTCCAACATCCCATCAATCGCCGTACTCCGAGAGCGTCTGAACTACGGCACCAAGACTACCGATAGCTGCAAGCGTCTCCGTTCATCCATAAAGTTATTCCATAGCACATTCAAGACCCAAGATGGAAGAGCTGCCACTGAGCTAGGCTGGAATAAACCTAACCAGTCAGTTCTCAATGAAATGGTCGAAAGCTTGCTTGACGTAGCAGGCAATGGGCCCAACTTCTGGCCGAACAACGAGAATTCCCCGAACTTCAACGGACTGCGTTACTCCAATCATGAACATAAGGAACGGTAGGAACACAATTTTTGGTTTCACTTCCAAGTTCACTGCTAATATTGTCAGGATCATCAAGCCCAATGTGAAGCAATGGATGGTCAAAATGACATGGCATTACAAGACAAACGAGAATAGACAAAAGAGGAAGCTTGAGACTAGTAACAGCCAAGCGGAACCTACATCAAATGTCGAAAGCAGCAACGACGAGGTTTGCAGTAACGGGAACAGCGTCCGGATGGCAAGCGAACTTTTCATGGCAAATCAAGTCTCACTTGCCCCAACACCATTGTAAGTGACACTCCTAGAGATGAACCAAGCACACAGCTCAGATGTTCGCCAAGTTTCCATGTTCTGATGCAGATTAGGGTTTCGCATACTGCGACTGAAGGATCATGCGCACTAGAGGGCGGGATCAATTCGAATCTCATTCAAAATCCTTCGGTACGATATCCGCCTTTGGAGACTGACGTATACGTTAATTAGATTAACCGAACTGTACATGTAGCAGCAAAGTATTCATCAGGCCCTTTATAGGGAATGTATGTCAGAACACCATCTTTGCTGAATCGAATCGGTCTCCGAAACGCCAAAAGCTGAGAAGCAGCATTGATGCTCACGAGAGACACAATGTTATATTGGGGGCGACGCCGACAAACCGCCACGAGAACCCCGACCGAATAAGCCTAAGATCACAGAGCAATACTCGAACAAGACGTTCTGACAACGCTGCTGGTGCCATGACCGAGGCACCTCGCTCGACATTAGTTGTTGATCTCACGGCTTCCGATGATGACGAGCCGCACATTGTCAGCACCGAAATCGTCAAGCAGGAAGTGCTCCATAAGAGCCCTAGGGCAATCCATGGCCATTATGCAGATTTGATTGCCCCTGTGGGGCAAGCATCAGTGGAAAATCCTGCTCCTGTTCTTTGGCCAAGCCAAGCATGCCACTCTGCTCTACCTCAGGCACCTGCGTCTGGGGTTGACCAATTTTGGCCACGAGTCAATGTCACTTTGAAGATCATTGCTTCGCGCTATCCAACTTTGAATGTTCAGACTTGGAAACCGCGGCTTCGGTTCAGTCAGTGTTCTCTGCAGCAACTAAGAAACGAGTTGCGCATACCCAATTCAGAGAGAATCGGGTTCAAATTGCAGCTTGCTTACCCGGGGCTGCTATACACGTCTGAGGTTGCCGGTCATGACGAAATCATGTTTCGGCAGATACGAGAACAAATGTTTGCTACCATCAAAAGGGAGCTCTGGGACGCTGGTTCTTTGCATCCTCTGGAGATCTTTGTCGTGATCGAATCTGTTCACGATGCTCAGTCACACCCTCTGACTGCAATTATAGCACCTATGACCTGGGAACAGTCCCCTGATGAAAGTATTCTAGCTGGCCTTTAGTCCCTCACAGTCCGCTGGAGGAACACATGTCTCGAACCAGTTAATTAGTAACGAGACGAACAAACCATTCGTGCGCCCCCACCGCGGAAATAGCTTCAGTCTACATAATGTTTAATAAACATTCATAACTGTTGTATTGTCAGAGGGTATATCTCAATCGTGCTAAACGACCAAGACTCGTTGTTCGAGGTTGATTATAGAACAATGAATCGCATGATGTTTGGACAGGCACATCTATCATTGTCTCTAGACTGTGAGCATCTGACAGCTTATGGTAGAAGAGTGCCTGAACAAGATTAATGCCTTAAAATCTCTGGCGAGACCTGTGATGCGCATACCTAATAGGAACTGAAAGCTACTCACTTATAAAGTTGACATCCATAGCTGGCAATTGGAAATCACGACAACATCAAACACAGAAACGACACGCACCAATTATTCTCATTATTTGATTCGATCTCTGAACCATTCAATCTCTACAAATGGCTTCCCAAACGTATCTTTCGAACTCTATCGATGAGCGATGCTCATATTTCCCACCGGTCAGAAGACAACTAATTCTTGATCCCAATCTCTTTCAAGGTTTAAAACTCACATGCGTCATCTGCAGGCAAGAAATGAATATCGTTGGAGATGGATTTCCAGAGAATGATCACCGGCCTGATGGTTTTGCGGCGACTCATGGCGTGACAAGCGCCCGCGAGTTGAGAAGACGTCGACCCCAACCTTCAAAAGAAAGCACGGCAATCGTTGTCCCATGCGGCCACGTATTCTGCAGAGGCTGCCTTTACGCCCTATGCTGGGAAGGATTCGATGTCAATGACTTTGTTCCGGGAAATGAACAAGCAAAGAGCGATCCGGCGTGCCCCATGTGCAAGCAAAGTCTTTGTTTCGAGAACTGCGTCTTCCGCTGTCGCTTTCCAGGGATACCCTTCCCACAAAACAAACGCGCACTCGACAAATTTCCGCAAACAATGAATGAGCAAATGGAAAGCACCACCTATCCAAAAAATTGCAATTCCTGTGCGCTGCTGGAATTCCTGCAGCATGTCCAGGGGTATGTTGCAGACACTCTGGATGAGATGCCAGAACAAGCGGGCCAAAACGTGACGGTTGAAACAACAGTAACTGACAAACCCAGCATAGAAACCTTCGAGAACTTGTTTCATAATTATCTACAAGATTCGATCACGAGATATAGGATGTTGACGAGACTCCGGCCCTGGGGAGGTCCGGCTGCCCATCCCCGACTTCGATATATTTTCAAGTAGTGGAACGCATGGAAGTGACCAAAAGCCTTGTTTTAGGTCAGTTTATTTAGAGGTAATAGGATAGAAATCAATTAGTGTCTACTAAATAGGCGTCTGTGTCTTCTCTACGAACCCACTTGATCTTCACATTGTTCTCAAACACGATTCAAAATGGTCTGATCGTGCCCTCGCATTTTCGGCTCGGTTATTGGACAAAAGACACCGGTTGGGCATACTATCTCCGTGTCTTAACCCACACTGCCGCTTGTTGGGATGACCGTGGCCCAGGAGGTGTTCGTTGTTCTTTGGGGTTAGACTTCTCGATACGAAGTTGCATGATCACGAGTCGGTGGCCAGACCGAGCCTGCAAAGCTCATGCATGGAAACATTGTACAACAGTTCTGCGCTCTATGCGCCGATGCAGCAGTCGAAGTGACGTTGCACAAGTACGTACTGCCCAGTGCCGCTTTCAAGCTTTGGGGCGCAATACGACGGCGATCAAAGAACGCCCCAAGATGGAGGTGGCATGTGCTACTGACCAGTGACGTCTCCGTGCTAGTCTAGCTTGTCGATCAACTCGTGGAAATCCGTCTCGTGTTGCGGGGTTTTCCACGGACGGAAGGAGAATATCTGAGACCCCAGATTTCCTGTCCTCCTCCCCTAAACTACTGCAACCACCTCCGAGCCCCGTCTGGCTAATCGAAAAGGTTCTCTTCTGCAGCACGTCAAAGCAATGTTGAAAATTCCACCATTCCCGGACGTCCCGACGAGGCGGTCTGCAGGCTTCTGGTTGTAGCACATCATCGTATGCCCGAAAGAAATGTTTGCTGCGGATTACGGGTGGGCACATCCGAGTAAGACCTATGTGAGACCTAAATCCTCGTCACGCTGATCGTTCGTATTTTTGGCGAGACCGCATGCTGTCGGTGAAGACTTCGCCATCAGCTAATCCAGCGACGCGTATGATAGCACCTTCGAACACGTTCTATTTTGAGCAGTTGATGATTGATCCAAGGCTGCCCTGTGGCCGACGAATACATAAGGCATACACGTCTCCCCACTTACCCTCTACTTCTTGCTACTCTCCATCACACCACCTCCTCTCAACCTCTCACCGTCGCAAGATACAAAGACTACAGTCCAATCACAAAATCCACCGACGCGAGATTATACAACCGTTAAGACTCGTTATATCAACCATCACCAGAATGCGTTTCTCCACCCTCTTCTCTATCGCCAGCCTATCTTTGGCTGCTCAGGCCAGTCCCATGCGCCGAGACGACCCTCACCGAGCCGATTTTCGTATCTGGAGCGAAACAGGTTGCGGCCAAAACGGCTCAAATGAAGGAAACCTAGGTGTTTGGACAATCAACGAATCCCAGACCAACCAGTGTCAACCGACGTTCAACGCCCAAGTAGTAAAGGGAATATTCCTCAACGACATTCAAACCGATAACCAGACTACGTGCACGAGTAAGTCAAGCCTTGTATCTTGCACTACATACTCTAACTAACATATCCAAGTGTATGCGTACACAGAGGAGAACTGCGGCGGAGTTGCTCAAGTTGTCTCGATCAAGGAATGCGCGAATGTTCCTGACGGTGATGCTAGCTTTGTCAGCTTCAATGTCGAGTGCAACGCTCCCTGAGCAGCGGCCATGGAAGGAATTTGTGAACGCGTCGTTTTGAATTGCATGTGGAAGGCGTTGAACCTGGTTTTTGAGATTGCATGGCATAATTAGGAGTTAAATGGCCTGGCATGGCTCAAGGAACACTCATTTGATGCCTCTAGAGGGCATTTGACTCACCACGGAGACGACGTGGGAGTAGATGTAATTCACTCATTAATTCAACAGCACTCAGTCTACTCAGTCAGCTCACGTGCTTGAGTATTATGTGTGGATATCTGGGGCAGGGTGTACTCGTCAGATTCGCGTGTTCTTGAAGGAAGGAACTTGGTACTGATATTCATACCTAGTGCCTCCGTTGTGGATTTTTGCATCCTGGAACATGGGGATCAATCCGCAAAGCCATGACCCAAAGATTATTCCAGCTTCGTTGCTCCACCGATCCGGATCTGGCGATAGCTTGCGCATATGATGTCAAAGGCGTCATAGAATCTGGCGCTAGCCAGCGGAAGATCGTCATTCCCGCAGATAGTCGCGTCAAGCACTCAAATCACCTCGGTCTCTAGATTATTTGCCGGAAGTCTTGTTGCTATTTAAACAACCATTGTGTGCGCACGAAGTGCGCAAAGCATTAATTAATTACTTCGTATTTCTACCGGAACCATGAGCTCTCAACCAATTGGCCTGACCACGATCCCGAAGCTGCTCCGTAAGTGACACATCAAGACATGCAAAATTGGCTCTGAGACCAGTCATTGACCTGATCTCCTCACCGAACAGCGGTAACGGGAACCTTCGCACTCCCTTTTACTGCGTACTACGCGTTGCTCAGCATACGAACGGTTCGCGAACGTCTGCAAAAGGAGCACTACCTCGGGGACAACTCATCGACTGGCAGCGCCGACTGGCGCGCCTACAAGAACGACAAATTGTACCTACTCACTCGTGCGCATACCAACTTCACCGAAAACGTTCCGTTGGCTTTCATACTCGCTACGTTGGTGGAGGTCAATGGCGGAAACCGTAAGGTGCTGAGTTGGTTCCTCGGCAGCTTCCTGGCGATGCGCGTACTGCATGCCGATTTCGGTATCCTGCAGCAGGGACTCGGCAGCGGCAGGCCTATTGGCTATTGGGGCAGTGTTGGGCTTCTGAGTGCCATTGCAGGATATGGAGCCTTTTTGGTCAAGGGTTATTGGGGCTTCTAAGCTGCGCTTGGAAGAGTGCGCTTGTCATTTTTGAGGGTCATTCCAATCATCACACAACGAGATCATATACTATTACTACATGTACTCCGTATTAATGAGTAGTATGTGCATGTTGGACATGTTCTTACCAGCGTTAATATCCAGTCGACGACTGGGATGAAGGCTCTAGTGCATGATGCGGGGTGACCGTGTCAGTCACGCACTGAAGGTCAATTGAGACGCGTCGTATTGTTCACGAACGAAGAGAACAGAAATCATCGGCGTAATCAGCGGATAAGCCGGCTGTCATCTGAAGTAGGGGCGGAGGAGTTCGTCCCAAATTCCAGAATGGGACGGCTTGGAAGGTCGCCTGATCGCCCGCAATTAATTCCAAGCATGCGCAGGTTCCACGTACATGACTATGCCAAAACTCAAAACTCCGAAGGCACAGCGGGCCTCCCCAGTCAATCCGCAGGAAGGAAGTTCGGTCAACGCTTTAGAGCTTACCACGGAGGCTTATAAATACAGGGTTGCGATCAACCGTGATTAGCAGAGCCAAGCATGTAGCCCAGGGCTGAATTACCCTGCTTCACCCATTTTAGATTGACATGGCAGGCTTAAAATAGAGTTGACACTTCGTGCCCCTGATGACCCTCTGAGAGAAATAATCCTACACGTTGAGCCGTGAAAATCAGGTATTTAGGGCCTCGAGATCGTCCCACCAGCGGCTCAGTTACACTGCTCCATCATTTTCTAGAACCCATCATTGCACCATTTGACAGCGATTCTCCGATTCGTTGAAGTTGCTTTCAGTCGCTAAAATGCTCTCTATTAAATTCGCCCTATTCCTGGCACCCTTATTAGCAGCGCAGCATACCAATCAATTAAGTTAAAACTGAGGCTTAAGATTAGCTAATTAAATAACTTTTCGTAATACTTTTAATTATTTTAACTAATTTAATTTAATTTAATTTAAATTACCTAAATAGAAAGTTAGTAAAGCTCTTATAATATTCTTAGAAGGTCTAAACTTATATTATATAATAATCTAAGGTTATATAGTCCTCTATTAACTTCTCTACTTAAAGTAGTAACTACTAATAATAATACTACTACTTTAAATTTAGTTCTAGAAGTATTAGATCTTCTTAAACTATAAGGACTTTATTAATAGTCTCTATAATATTAGAACTAACTTAATAAAACTAAATATTCTCTTATAGTTTATTACTATTATTAGGATAGTAAAGATATTAAGGGTAAATTTATTAAATATTAAAAAGGTCTATTAATATAAAATCTACTACTAGATAAGGTTATTAATAAGCTTAGTAATTAAGAGACTAAAATATTACTCTAGTTTATTAGTTTTATTAATAATAGTATTATAAGTCCTACTATTTAACTATTAATAATATTTAGAGTCCTTAACCCTTAAGGTAATAGTAAGTAATAAAAAAGTAGCTTACTAAGGCTCTAGATAAGGTTAATAATTAATAAGGTTAGATCCCTTAGTATACTATTATTCTTAGTATTCTTAAAATCCTTTTTAGGTATTATAAAATTATCTATAAGTCTTTAGTATATTTTAGCGTTTTTTAAGCTATTATAAGCCTTAGTTAGGATATAAAATTACTATAGTAGTATAAAGAGGAGACTTTATAAGTTTAGTATAGTATTTATTAAATACTTACTAGTTATTAATAATTAATAAGTATAAGTAGTTATAAAAGTTAAAAATATTACACTAGGGGCGTTATAAAAGTATATAATTAAACTAAATATAAGTTAAGATACTATTAATTAATAAGGCTTATAAAGCTACTACTAAAGCTCTTAAAAAGTATTATAATACCCTTATAAGTTAAGATAGTTATTATAACTAACTCTAAATAAGTTAAGTAGCTATAAGGTTAATTTCCTTATTAATAAAGGTATTATAAAGCTTATACTAATCCTTAAGTTAATCTAAGAGGTACTCTATACTTATTAGAACTTCTTAGAATTAACTATACTTATTACCCTTACCTTAGCTTTTATATCTCTTAATCTATTTATAAAGTAGCTTAAGTATATTATTTAACTCTATAAGGATCTATTAGTTCTTATTAGTAAAAGTATCCTTATTAAGGATATAATCTATAACATACTTAAGGCTTTAAGTATAAAGTATATAACTATTAATCTAGTTATATTTAAATAAGGTATACTTAACTATTATATATATTAAGTTCTATTAAGTAGTATTATTTAATATTAAGTTTAGTTCTTATAATAACTCCTCCTATAAGGTAAAAGTCTTATTATTATTATTAGTTTTATTATTAATAGATAGGAAGCTTTTAGATTATTATAGTAATAATCTAATATACTTAATAATATTCTAAAGCTTATTAATAGGGCCCTTCTACCTCTAGTAAGTTAGATCTTCTTAGGTTCTATTAAGACTAAAAAGGAAGTTAAACTCCTCTTTAAATACCTTATTATTAACATTATAAATAATAATATAATTAATAAGGTTAAAAATATAGCTATAATATTAAATTTAGTATTATTTAGTATTAATTTCTATATATATAGGTAAAAGAGAAGGGAAAAAAGCCTTAAAATAAGAGTTATTATTTATAGTATTATTAGAGATAGCTATACTAACCTTATTAAGTAAACTTTAATTATTAAAAATAATATAAATAGTAATAGTAATATTCTCACTAAAGTAAATATTAAATTAATAATAAAAAGCTAAGAGGTATTATATCTACTTACCTACTTTATTAATAAAGTAGCTAAAAATAGTAATAATTATATATTAATTAAATAAGGTCTATAGATTAAATAATATATAAACCTTAATAAGTACCTTTTATATCTCCTCTTAAATTTATACCTTCTTAGAGGTATAGAGTTAGTTAAATAGGTCCCTCTAACTTAACTTTAACTAATATATTTAGTTAAAAACGTTATAATTAAAAAAGCTAAATATATACTATATATATTAATTACTAAATATTAAGAAGGGGTTATTAGTATTAATAATAAACCTAAAGGCTAGCTTTTTAATTTATAAGACCTTACTCTAAAGTATAGTAATAAGAATAGAGTATTAGTACTTAGGGAGGGACTTATTAGTATTAGAATTATCACTAGATATACTCTTAATATAAAATTAATCTTAAAAGATATAATAGATAATCTTAAGGTATATTTTAGTATTAGATATAGTAGAGGTTTTCTAAAATATATTAAAATACCTAGCTTTATTATAATATTAATAAACTTAATAAGTATTACCTAAATATATTATTAATATAGTTAAAAGTAAAGTAAAGAAGTAGTATATCTTAAGTACTACTTTAAAAGATCTTATAAATAAAAAAACCCTTATTTTTAATCTAAGAAATATAGTTTTAACTACTTTTTTTTAAAATATATTTAATATTAATAAAGTAATAACCCTTCTATATAGTATAAAGTCAAGCTTTAAAACTACTATAAGTAGTAAAGTTAATAGTTAATATATTATTAGTAGTTAATAAAGTATAGATCTAAGTAGTAATTTTATAAAGAGTTAATAAGTTATAGCTAATAAAGTGATTAAAATATTAATTATAAGTTAATATAAATATTATAATAGTAAGCTAGAAGTTAAAAAAGATACTAAGAAGTATATATAAGTAGGGCTTTAAAGTATAAAAGTAGGTATAATAGTAATAATAGTAGTATATTATGACCTATTATGCATAGATAATAGTTAACTAACCTACTTAGGCGTTAGGTAACTAGGATAGGATATTTATACTATAGAGTTAATAGGAATAATAGGGACTTACTTAGAAT